ATAATTATGAAATATGACCTATTAATGCATTGACCACGGAGTGCACAAAGGGACCCTGTCAAATCAGTTACAGGTGGGCCCTTACTTTGCCCACCTTCAACTTATTTGACAGAGGCCCTATAGGACAGTGGTTTTATGTGGTCAAACCTACTGTACACAACTCAGGGGACACACCACAACACACTCATGTACATTACAGCCAATAATTGTGCATAGTGTTAGACATTTTCAGCCGGTGAATCCCTGTAAGGAATTGGGGATTTCCGCATATGTGCTGAAGGCCAGTGTGTAACTTATCAAGCTACAGGTGGGATGCCGAATTTGACCGGATGTATCTCGGGAGCTAAGGGGCCCTGTCAAACAAGTTACAAGTGGGACCTGACACCTGTAACTTATTTGACAGGGCCCCTTTGTTTACTCCGTGGACATGCCCATTTAAGGCTAATAATGCATAATTGTGAACTCTAAAGTACCCCAATGTGTTGGATTGTATTCCCTGTGCACTGTACTCTATTTTTAAGTAATAAAAACATTAAAAATCACGAATTATGACCTATTAATGCATTGACCACGGAGTGCACAAAGGGGCCCTGTCAAATAAGTTACAGTTGGTATGTTTTTTTATATTTTGAGGTCATGGTTGATAAAAATGAATAAAATTGATTAAATATCAATTTTAGGTTCATCTGTGGGCCCCCCTGAGCGATTTGCAGCCTTCAGAACCCAGAAATTCCACTGTCCATGAACAGCCTGAATTTTTGAATGGTATAAGTTGCAGGTGGAACGTCCAGATCTCAGCCTCTGGACAGAATTGGGAGCTGAAACCTGCACTCCTGCCCTTGTCTGGACGTGCCCCGACAGTGCTGTGCATTTCAGGGAGTTTGGAGAAACTTGAAAATCTGACTGAAAAATTCTCCAAGGGATACATACCCCTTTGAGATTTTTTGGGTCGAATTTTCAAGTTTCTCCAATCTCTTTGAAATTCACACCAGGGACAGGGCGTGCCCAGATGAGCACAGGAGTGCAGGTTTCATCTCCAAATTCTGTCCAGAGGCTGAGATCTGGACGTTCCACCTGCAACTTATACCATTCAAAAATTCAGGCTGTTCATGGACAGTGGAATTTCTGGGTTCTGAAGGCTGCTAATTGCTCAGGGGGGCCCAAAGATGAACCTAAAATTGATATTTAATCAATTTTATTCATTTTTATCAACCATGACCTCAAAATATAAAAAAAACATACCAACTGTAACTTATTTGACAGGGCCCCTTTGTGCACTCCGTGGACATGTCGTTTTAAGGCTTATAATGCATAATTATGAACTGTAAAGTACCCCAACATGTTGGATTGTCTTCCCTGTGCACTGTACTGGCTGTTTAGAGTAATAAAACATTTATAATTACGAAACATGACCTATTAATGCATTGACCACGGAGTGCACAAAGGGGCCCTGTCGAATAAGTTACAGGTGGGCAAAGTAAGGGCCCACCTGTAACTTGTTCGACAGGGCCCCTTTGTGCACTCCGTGGACATGTCGTTTTAAGGCTTATAATGCATAATTGTGAACTGTAAAGTACCCCAACATGTTGGATTGTCTTCCCTGTGCACTGTACTGGCTGTTTAGAGTAATAAAACATTTATAATTACGAAACATGACCTATTAATGCATTGACCACGGAGTGCACAAAGGGGCCCTGTCGAATAAGTTACAGGTGGGCAAAGTAAGGGCCCACCTGTGACTTGTTCGACAGGGCCCCTTTGTGCACTCCGTGGACATGTCCATTTAAGTCTAATAATGCATAATTGTGAACTGTAAAGTACCCCAACATGTTGGATTGTCTTCCCTGTGCACTGTACTGGCTGTTTAGAGTAATAAAACATGTATAATTATGAAATATGACCTTTTAATGCATTGACCACGGAGTGCACAAAGGGGCCCTGTCGAATAAGTTACAGGTGGGCAAAGTAAGGGCCCACCTGTGACTTGTTCGACAGGGCCCCTTTGTGCACTCCGTGGACATGTCCATTTAAGTCTAATAATGCATAATTGTGAACTGTAAAGTACCCCAACATGTTGGATTGTCTTCCCTGTGCACTGTACTGGCTGTTTAGAGTAATAAAACATGTATAATTATGAAATATGACCTATTAATGCATTGACCACGGAGTGCACAAAGGGACCCTGTCAAATCAGTTACAGGTGGGCCCTTACTTTGCCCACCTTCAACTTATTTGACAGAGGCCCTATAGGACAGTGGTTTTATGTGGTCAAACCTACTGTACACAACTCAGGGGACACACCACAACACACTCATGTACATTACAGCCAATAATTGTGCATAGTGTTAGACATTTTCAGCCGGTGAATCCCTGTAAGGAATTGGGGATTTCAGCATATGTGCTGAAGGCCAGTGTGTAACTTATCAAGCTACAGGTGGGATGCCGAATTTGACCGGATGTATCTCGGGAGCTAAGCCGACTTGGGGCTCCATACTCTGGCCCGGAGTTTGGAGCTCCAACTCGGCTTGGTTCCCGAGATACACCCGGTGGTGGTGGTGGTGGACGAACAGGCCGTTCGTTGTCACACAGGTGGTCAGGGGGACGAATGAGCTGTTCGTGTCAGTGGGTGGGGCCCCGGGCCGTCTCTTAGATTGCCCGTTGGCCAACAGGCCGTTCGCTGTCACACAGGAGGTCAGGGGGACGAATGAGCTGTTCGTGTCAGTGGGCGGGGCCCCGGGCCGTCTCTTAGATTGCCCGTGGGCGAACAGGCCGTTCGCTGTCACACAGGCGGTCAGGGGGACGAATGAGCTGTTCGTGTCAGTGGGCGGGGCCCCGGGCCGTCTCTTAGATTGCCCGTGGGCGAACAGGCCGTTCGCTGTCACACAGGCTGTCAGGGGGACGAATGAGCTGTTCGTGTCAGTGGGCGGGGCCCCGGGCCGTCTCTTAGATTGCCCGTGGGCGAACAGGCCGTTCGCTGTCACACAGGCGGTCAGGGGGACGAATGAGCTGTTCGTGTCAGTGGGCGGGGCCCCGGGCCGTCTCTTAGATTGCCCGTGGGCGAACAGGCCGTTCGTTGTCACACAGGTGGTCAGGGGGACGAATGAGCTGTTCGTGTCAGTGGGCGGGGCCCCGGGCCGTCTCTTAGATTGCCCGTGGGCGAACAGGCCGTTCGCTGTCACACAGGCGGTCAGGGGGACGAATGAGCTGTTCGTGTCAGTGGGCGGGGCCCCGGGCCGTCTCTTAGATTGCCCGTGGGCGAACAGGCCGTTTGCTGTCACAAAGGCGGTCAGGGGGACGAATAGGCTGTTTGTGTCAGTGGGCGTGGTCAGGGGGCGGTCACAGGCTGTCTTTGGGACGAAAGGGCGCTCAGTGGACGGTGGGTGTGGTCAGGGAATTTCCCGAAAAGGCGGTCAGGGGTAGGCGCGTGCGCTCCGTGGGCGCCCGCCTGCAACCTGTTCGGCGCGCGTCGAAACGACTGCAGGCGGTCGGCGAGTCGCCCCCCTGTGGCCGATGCCCGTATTGCGAGCGAGGGGGCCGAATTTCGTCGGGCTCCCGCGGGGCCCCCGAGGCCCCCCGGCCCGAGGCGACGCCTCCGGCCCGCCCCGTCGGTCCCCCCCTGCGGCCGGGCGCGGTCGGCCGGCCCCCGAAAAATCATCTAGGGGGCGGCGCGCAGCGTTCCGCTAACCTCCTATCACGGACTACCTTTTAAGCAGCTCGCGGACCGCTGGCCTAACGTGACGGCCTAAAGAGAGGAGGGGATGTCTCTGACAAGCAAGAGGTGTTGGGAGAATGCATTCTTCAGTTCGGCAAGTACAAGGGCAAGTCTTTCAAGTGGTTATTAGAGAATGATGTCAGCTATGCTTTGTACCTGTCCGATAAGGTTGAGGAAGAAGAACAGGCTGGGCAGTTCAACCCAGAGGGTCCATGCAAGGATAGACTAATTTCCTTCCTTGAGTATTCAAGAAGCTTCAAGGAAATTGAAGATATTAAACAGTATCTGTCTCAAAGGCCAGATCCAGTGCCAGTTTTGACAGAGGATGACAATACTGTTGCATTTGGATCCAGAGCACAAGACACTTGGAGGAAAATTTGGGATACCAGGGCAGACGGATATGCTTTCTTTATAATGAGGCAGAAGTGTGTGCCAGGCAGCAAAATGTACAATTTGCAGCAGTATCTTTTAAAACAGCAGCAAAAACAGATGACCAAAAACACTCCTCCGTTGCCCTCACCATCAGCTTCCGCTGCAAGACCACTTGTTCCTTCCATTACCGACTCTGATCAGCCTGGTGAGTTAATAAAATTCATGCAAATTTGCTTATATTGATTCTTAAAGCCTGCCTACCTACTGATGCATTTGTTATATTTTATAGTAATGGAGGAGGATGAAGAACTGGAGAGGATGATGCTGAGTCTTTCTCCAACAAAGTATCTCACACAGCTGAGTAAGTTAATCAAGTATCGTGTCATGTGTGTTATATATACCCATGTCAAATTCAGCATCTTTATGAAGTATAAAATTGTACATACTGGAGAGAAACCATTCAAATTATAATGCTTAATTTTTAGGATCATCTGCAGCCACAGGATCCACAGTCTTATCTACAACAGGTTACTTTACACGTCAGTTTTGGAGGCTTATTCGGTTACATAAAGACTTATCCTCCATTTCTGATTTTAATTCTCTTATTTGTTGTTTTGGCAGTGTTCTTGCCTGTTCTAAAAAACATGTTCTTTTGTTCTAACTACTGTTAAGGTTTGAATATACCAGTGGTGAGAGTGAGTGCACTTCATGAATTGTATGCATGCTATTTAAACTGTTTTTATTTGTTGTGAAAAAGTGGACTGTTTACTTACAGACATTTGAACATTATCAGAATGTGCATTACTAGAATAAATAACAGAATAAATAAATAAAAGAATAAATAATGATTAGTCATTTAATGTAATCAAGACAATCAAATACATATCATGTACATTCAGTGTTTTAATGTTTTTAATTTCCTCCCTGTGCTTTTCCTTGCAGCTCTGCCACAGCCTCCATCAACATCAGCTCCTGTGTGTAGGCCTTCTTCACAGGGTGAAGGTTTTGCACCACCTCACGCAGCACAATCAGCACCTACACCAATGCCGTCTGCACTGACTGAAACCCCTGTTCCCAGCTACTTGAACAAAAAAAGTAAAGAGAGTTAAACACACGTGCATTAAATGTGTTATACACGCATATATACATTAATTTCCTTTGCTTTGTTTTCCTTTCAGTTATGCCACAGCCTTCACCAGCATCACATGCAGTCTCTAGTTCTCCCAGTCCACCAGCTCCTGTGTGTAGGCCTTCTTCACAGACTGATGGCTCTGTACCACCTCCTGCAGCACAATCAGCACCTACAGCTCCTGCATCAATGGCGTCTGCACAGACAGAAGCACCTGTTACTAGCTATTTGCAAGATATTAGCCACTGAAACTGCTCTCTTCATCAAAGAATTTGGATGAAAACAGAGATGGAGTCCATGGGGCTCTGGCCAGGATTACACCCAGTAAGACACCTCATGAATATGGTCACCTTGTGGCGCTATCCACCTCAGCCTGAGCTTATAGAGACAAACATGGGCCTTCCGTCACCAAAGTACTTCCAGCTCCATCCCTTTTTCATTTGGAAACCTGAGCACAGTATAAATGAAAGGCTTAGAAACAACTACGTCCTGCCCTGTCTCTACAGCTGTCCAAATCCTCATGTTGTGTCCTCAGGTGTGGGAAGACCCAGAGTGATCCTTGGCACTAGTGGGCAATATTACATCCTTGCTTCACGTCTGTGCTGTAAGGCATGTAAAAAATACTGGTTCGCTGATAAACCTCAGTGGGTGGACATGCTACCACAGCGATTTAGAAACATCTTGCCAGCCTCCCTCACCCATAAGAAGGCAATCTGTAAAACGGTGATGGATGAACTGAGGCGCTCTGGAAAATCCCCCAATGACATGGCCAACCAGCTGTCTGAGGTGCTCAGGGAACTACACTAACATTTTCCACTGGCGGCACTTACGCTACTAACTTTTTCAGTTACTAGCGCAAAACATGATTTGGTCGCACAAATTATTTATAGTAAGCCGCTCTGGATAATAATGACCAATAATGAAACTGTATTGCATACAGATGTGCTTTTTATTTTACTTGCCATCTTTTAAACCACATGCCTTGTTTTCTTTAAAATTGGTTGGGATAGATTTACTGTAATAGAAAATACAGTACACAATAAAGTGCAAAATGAATTTCTTTTGGATTTCAACATGCTATGGCTGGCACAGATGGGCAGACTTCTGAACTCTTAAGGAAAAATAAAATAAATATAATCCACTTCGCGTGCTTCATACTGTCATTGTGAAGCTTCAATGATTTATGTTTGAATTGTTTTGACGCAGTTACAAATTTGGACAGTCCTGCAATTGAAGGCCCACATAATTTACAGTAGGGCTGCACGATATTGGTAAAAAATGACATTGCGATATTTTATTTTTCTGCGATATATATTGCGATATAAAAACAATTTCACCAGATGACTTGAATAGCTCTATTTGGAAAGAATGAATCATTCTAGAATGACTGGAGTGGTTTTGTCATGGAGTAAATCCGCATAGAAAAAAAAATATTAATAGAATGTTTTAATGTAGTTAACTAGACTTTAATAAATGGAACCTTATTGTAAAGTGTTTCCGATTTATGTCTCTTGAGTTCAGTGTTGGACAGATCAGTTGTTTTAACCATTCATTAAAGTGAATCGGTTCAAAGGAGTCATATTAGTTCGCGAATCGGACGTGTCATTAACGGACCACGGCACACGTTGTGTGATTATCCTGGCAGTTTAGGACATCGCACAAGATTTGTCTCAACACAGAAAACATTTCATCACTAGATAGATTTTTTGTTTGTTTATTGAAAGTGTGGTTTATGTCATCTGAATGTGTGGAAAGCTTTTCAGAGAAGATAAGGCAACGTTATTTTAGCACAATTCACAACCAGTGGTAGTTCAGAAAAACTTCGGTCTTCCGACCTTTTACCATCGTGTATTCTCAAAGATATTCAGTCAACTCAATTCATTAATATGAGCGAGGGAGGGAGAGAGAGCAAGACAGTTTGAAGACGGTGAGAGAGTGCGCGCGCGCGTCTCTCTGCTCGTTCTCTCAGTTAAACAAGCGCGAATCCGCGAAGCCAACTTGATGTGTTGAATGCTCAGAGCACGTTATAAAACGTATTCTTAAAATACACATTTCTGTTTTAATAAATGCTCATAGTAAATCATAGCATATTGCCTAAAACATAAGGTAGGTACAAAAATAATCAGTGATACATTTGCGACCCATTAAAAATTAGGGTCGCAATGGCATTTCAAAAGGTCGCAGTGTAGTTCCCTGGAGGTGCTTCACCTTAAATTTGAAAGAGCCCACCTTGCTTACCTTCTCATTGTGCAGAACGTCAGGGATGCTGAAGCAGGGCTGTATGGCCAGAAAACCATCACAGGAGCATTGAGGAGGGATGACACACCTGCTTCGTTTGGGGGTTACGAAGACACTGATGGGTGGCATGGGGTGTCTGTGTCTGCACATTATCTGGTGGAGTGCCTACTTCAGGAATATCAGCGGCAAGAGGCAGCTCTCACTCAGAGAAGGCAGAAGAGAGGTCCTGGGTCCATCGGTCCTGGGTCCATCACAAGGCACTTTTGGACAGGTGTTCAGGTCAGATCACACACGCAAAGTTGCTAGAAAAGTGACCCTCTCATCTGGCACAATGTCATCCTATGCTGTGATGAATGAGAACTGGATGATCCTGTCCTGGGTGATGCTGCAGTCTGAGAGTGAGCAGTCCTTGACGTCAATGTACTGTGGGATGGCCAATCGCTACAGTGCTGCTGGCATACCCAAGGCCAAGTACCAGTGGGTGGACAGGTAAGAATAATCACATCTCATCACACATCACATCAATATGTGTAAGCAAAGGTAATGAATACATACAAATTTAATTTTATTTCCCTTTTATGTACTTAGGGACTGCTGTGCTGCTTTCAGAGTGATGGACCCAGGACCGTATGAGCACCAGCAGTGGGAAGCTTGGAGGACCACTGAAGCTACTGTGGCAGAGGTTACATCAGGAAACCTCAAGAATGAAAATGCCGCTTGGCAGAAGTACAATGAGGACATGGTGGTTAAACTAGACTTGTTTCACTGTATGCGGCGATTCACCAGGGGATGTGTTTCGGAGCACCATCCTCTGTATAGCTCCTTCTGCCAGTTCCTCTCTTCTGCCTTCTCTGTAGTAGATCAGAGTGACCTGGAGAAACTGAAGAACGCATACAAGTTCTGTGGAATTGAGCCTGCTAATCCCACAAAGCAGCACATCAGAGGGCACTGCAGGACAAAAGTGCCACATCATAGAGAGCTGGTCTAAAGAGTGGAAGAAGTACTTCACCATTTTCATCTTGCAAAGGATCCCAACAACATCTTCCTTTTTAAACCCTCGATGCTAAAATTGTGGTGGATTCAGCGTATCCACATCCTTAGAGGGTGCCTGAGTGACCCTGAGGTGGAGGAAGGAATCCTCTACAGACATGGTGGAACGCTACAACTGAATCATGTCAAGGGTGAAGGAGCTGCTGTGCCCATCTGGATCCCTGTCAGAGGCAATTCACAGCAGGAGGGGTTTCATTTCCACCAGGCTCAGTGGGTAACGGGCAATCGCGTCTCTCCTGAGCTGTTCCAGGCGCAGGGTATGACTGGTGTGGCACGCTGGAATTATCAGCGGCTGGTGGACCTGAAGCAGCCTGGGCTTGTCTTACCTGGAGTGTTTGACCCTGTTTTGATGATGGAGTTAAACAGGGCATCTATAAGAGTGACTGGGCAACCCAAATATCCAGCCTTCCACATCTCCAGTAGGGACACAAGAGAGAGGTTTGGCCTACAATATGTGGAGCCAGGCTGTCGACCTGTGCCTCTTGACTTTGACAAACACAAAAGCAGGAAGACAGACCTAGGGATGCAAGAAGAGTCTTCATCTGGCACTGAGTTCTCATTTCCATCTCAGGTAAGCCTTTAAAGTTATTTGATAACAGACGTTTTATTAAAAAAAAACAAAAAATGTTATAATTCTATCTTGCATATTACACTAATTTTGCTGAATTTCAGAAATGCTTAGAGGATTCCTCTTCTGCTGAGACCCCTCTTGCTGCTGAACCAGAGGCCACCCCACAGACTGTCATTTTTCAATGTTTTTCTACTCCGAGTGCTGTGACAGTGAAGGAACAAACATCTGAGGAGTTTCTTTTAGATGCAGGTAATTATATTATTCATACAGGCGCCAATGTGTGTAATCTGTTTGCCTAATCTATGCACACAAAACACAAATACTTCATTTAATAATTTTGTGAATCTCTTTTAGAACTGCCAAGCACACCACCACTGCCTTCAGCTGCTTCTCCCTGTGCTGCTCGGACTGGACCCATTAAGACAGGTGGTCGAGTCTTTGTGTTGGACCATAACAGATGGACAGATCCAATGAGAAATGCCATTGATGGTTTGCTGGCCAAGCACCACGGAAGCAAGGACCTCCTGACAAAGGTGGATGCTGAATATGCTGCTATGGTACAGAGTGCCTGCACTGACCCAAACAGCCTTTTGCACTCAACCACAAAGCAGCACATAAGCAGGTACTTAAAACACCTTGCTAAAAAAAAGAACACTAATGCTTCACTCAACACCAGCCCAGAAAAGCTCCTGGAGACACAGCAGTTATGGCAGCGTCTTCACTCAGGCAGTGAAACCATCAGTGTCCCAGTGACAGTACTGCCACCTGCCCCAGTCAATCTACCCCCAAAAAGAGTGTTCCTGAGGCTGTCTCTCTGGACCAGGCAGCGCTTGAGAAGATGGTGAAGGACATCATAGAGAAGCAGCAGGCAGTTCAGCAGCAACAACAACAGCATATGCTGCAAAAAAAGCACACTAGATCCTGTTTAGCCTGTGGTCAGCCTAAGTCTCGATACATGGGTGATGGCACCTCAATACATTTCTTTTATCAAGGTGGTGATGTTAAATACTTCTACTGCTCCAAGAAAGTTTTTGACACATATTCAGCAGAGGGCCTGACCAACCCCAGAATGCCTTTTGAAGACTTTGCAGAGACTCCTTTTTTTCAGCGAGAACTGGAGTCCTCTAAGCAGAGAGGGGCAGAAAATAAGATGGTGATTGAGGAGAGAAGCAAGAGGAAGTCAGTAGTGGAGCATCCTACTGGTCGTCTGTGCAGATTCTGCCACCTGCCACTGAAACAAGGACCCAACAGTCCTCATATTCACACTGGTTTCCCTGGAGTGGCAGGCAAATACATTTACTGTCCTGCTAAAGTGTTTTCCCTTTATCACGCTCAGGGAATGAGTGGAGAAATTTCATGGAGAGACTTTCAGCAGTCTCCATTCTATGAGACTGAGAAGCAGAGGTGGATTGATGAAAAGAAAAAATGACTTCACTGGCAAATGACATGTCCAGACCTCAAATACTGTTTATAGCACAAAGACATTCCTTGCACAATGTTATGCATATATGTATATACATATTATTGCACTTTTAATATACTGTATATATATATTTTAAATATTTAATTTATTTCCATTTGTTCATTAAAATACCAAAAGTATTGTATTTTATTGTATTGCATTGTATTTTAGTGGGGTTTTTTTTAAGTTTTGACTTGCATTGTTATTTTATCTTGCTCAGATTTGAAAAACACTTAATGTTAAGTACTGTTACTATTAAACCCTGTACATAATTATTTAATTTAAAATACTTTTTTTCTTGTTTTTTCCTTTTGTCCACAACTTTAGATATTATTATTGCTGTTGTTTAATCTATAATTTAAATTGTTAAATTTATTTCCATTGTTCATTAAAATCAAACTGTTTTGTCCTTGTTTGCAAGTAAATTTTATTGACTTGCATTATTTTATCTTGCTCAGATGTGTAAACACTAAATGTTAATAACTGTTATTATTAAACACTGTACATAATTATTTAATTTTAAAAATCTTGTTTTTTCCTGTGTTCTCCACAGCTTTATATTTTATTATTATTATTAATGTTATTGTTGTTTAATCTATAAGAACAAATACATTTTTTAATACAAAATAATACATTTTTTAATACATTACCTTTTTCAGTTTTACATAATAATATGTATATTATTGTGCTATAAATAAAATCAGAAACGTACTATTTGGTGTTTACTGGTTATATTTCATATATATATTGGATTTCTTTACATAGTAATATCTCTAAAAGAAAGGTCTAAAATATTATCAAAATGTTCTTTACAATTATTCACATTCAAATATTTTCTATATTAAAGAAAACTATACCCTATTATAATGTAAATGTTTATTAATATAATTGCACATTTTGTACATCCTACACAAGAACAAATCTCACAAGTTTATTCTATTTTGTGCAGAAAGTTAGTTTATTATATGTAAATCGTACTTAACATGAATTTGTAATCATTTTTTAATAGATACACTTTATGGTATTTGTCTTCGAGACGGGACTCGAACCTCTAATTTCGTGTATTTTTTCTGGCCCGCCTCCCTGGAATTTCCCGCGTTCCTATTGGCTCGCAGCGCTCTACACCTACATGCGACTGGCCTCCACGTGTAAAGCGAACGTGATAACCACTACACTACGGAAACTTGATTTGAAAAACAGTCCGACCTCTTCTAGCGTACGCTTGTTCAAAAGCGACTGAAACAATAGACTGCCCAGTGTTCTTAAAGGTGCCCTAGAATGTTTTTTTATTTTTTTATAATGTTTCCTGGGTTACCCTTATAATGTTAGTATGTTTTTTAGATAAAAAATAATCATAATTTAGAAATAAATGGCATTTTTCCTAGCCTGCTTTTAGCCTCTGATTTGAACACTCTGTTTGAAGGGGCGTGTCTGCTGTGGGATTCAGTGTAACCGCGGCCACTGCTGTGATTGGCTGACATGCTTGCATATGAAATAGCTACGCATTACATGTGAAACTCTCTCCCGAATACTTTTACTACTGCTATTATACGTTTTTACTATAACAGCTATCGAGATTAACGAATCGTGAGATGTTTTTAAAGTATTTAGATCTATTCCCATCACATAAAATGTTGCCGTGATGAGCATTGAGCAGATGACAGTGTGTTGATCGCGAGAATGAAGATCTTATCATTGCAAAGCAGTTTCTGCACTCTCTCTGCTTTCACCAATGCAAACAAGATGATGTAAATACAGTAAGAGCTTCGTTGTGCAGTAACGTGCATCATTGATTTCATAACGAGTTTGGCAAGTGTCCAGATAAACTCGCGCTGTGTGGAAAGATTGTTCTTTGATCACTTTCTGTATATAATTTGTTCACATTTTAAATACGATTATTTTCATCCTACTAAAAGAAACGATGTGAAGCTGATATTTTAGTCACTGGCTTGACTTACTGATGCATAAACAGTATTGAACGATTTTGAGAGAAAGATTACCTGTCTGAACTTGAACAATTACACATCAGAAAGTGTTGCTTGGTAGCTCGATCCGAGGCCAGCTCTGTATTGGCCCAAGTTGAGGAAACAGTCGTCGGTGAAATGTTTGGAAATTTCCAGAGAAAATAAAATTAACCCATTGTTTCTTCAGAGGCTCAGATGAAGGAACTAAAAAAAACTTTTGTGTTCATGTGTACATCCAAACACTGAGCAACTGCCATGC